AAGTCACACAACACAGTGCTGCCCTCCGTATCTCGGGCCTCTGGACCAGGACCTGGACCCTGGATGCTCATCAAGCCCACTCCCCCACCACCCCCTCAGACCTGCCCCAGACTCCTCCCAGTGAAGGCTAGGGGCCAGCCAGGGCTGCAGCTCTAGCTAGTTACGCCTATCACCTTTCACCAGGATTTCCTGCTAGCTAACATTTATATTTGTAGAAGTCTCGACAGACCTCTCTAGATTACACGTCTTACTGTTAAGGGTAGGAAGCAGCCAGTCATCAAAGCCGGTATCTCTCTATAACTTCCAAGCACTTCCCTGACCTCAAAAAAGAAGAATGGCACCTCTGTCAACTCCTAGGTTCTGCAGAGGGCCTCCCTGGCCCGTCGGCTGTGCTAGGAAATGGGGAATTCACGGAGCCTGTACAGAGGGGCAAGGCCCTGAGGCAGCACCCGGGCACAGCCCCTCCCCACCCCAATTCTTGCCCCTACCCTACATCCAAAACTCTGAAGTCTGTTTTTTTTAATGCCCAAAGGATGACACACATATTCCCTAGCCCCTCCAGGCTTAGAGACCACTCAGGGAAGGAACCCTGATTGGAAAGAGCTACTTCTTGGGGCCTTGCCAAGTATTTCAAGAACAGCACAGTATGCGTATGTGGGCAGCTGGTACCCACCCTACACAGTTGGGAAAGGGTAGGCTGCACCTGGCCTGTTCAGAGGAAGTCCTGCCTGAACATAGCCCATCAGGAGCCAAGACATTAAGAAGGAAAAATGCCTAATGCTGCAGCCAGTGGATGCTGCCTTGCACATTCCCCCCAAACTATGGCCCCCTACCCGCCCCCCCCCCCACTGCCACATTTCTGCTGGAGACTCAGGGAGAGAGGAGGGCTCTGAGCCTAAGCGGGCATCAACACCTTGGAGACAGGACCACTGTCTACAGCAGAATCCAGCCAATACTTTAGAATCCACGCTGAGGGACATACTGACCACTTAGCACAGCGCACATTTAACAGCCAGATTAAAGTTATATTGATTCCTCTGGTCTCCAATCATACCACCACATCACAAAATGCTTGCCTTCCACCTTAGTACCCTAAGGCCCCAGGCCCCACCCCAGAGCATGCCCTGGGACCAGCTTATCTTTCAAGCCTGGCTGGTGTGCACCTCAACATGGTGTTTAAAGAACTTCACAGCTAGAAGGACCCAGAAAGACCTGAAGCCTGACCCAGATCCAGAGAGCTCTAGGATACACTACCAGACCTCCCGGTGGCCACCCCCCAGCTTCCTACCCAGACCCGCTCCCTAACCATTTGGTCGCTCAGTCCCTTATTCACAGAATGTCTACGTGACAGAAGTGCAGTGCTGCTTAAACCAAGATCAACATGGACCAATCAGCTTCTCTTGGTTTCAGTTCTAGAATGACGTGAGGAGCCAGCCCAGCAAAGTGAAGTCGTCATCACAGGGTGCATAAAGGCTGCTGCTGGTCAAAGTAAAGGCCCAGGCCAGCAGTCAGCAGCACTCTGTTCAGGGGTGAGGGAGCCTCTTCCCAAGAAGACAGAGACACTGACGGGGTCTGTCTCTGGGAAGCCTAACCTGTAGGCTACACGTGGAACGTGGCACGGGGCTTTGCAGCAGAGGCCATGCCATGGCAAAGGGTCTGGGGCGCGTAGCTGCCCTCAGCCATGGTTCACTCACCAATAACCAGCAGCACAAGGATGACAATGAGGACTACAAAGAAGGTGTTGCCATAAGTCACTACCAACTCCACCAGGCGGGACTTGAAAATCTTCTGCCATCTGTGAAGAAGACAAAAGGGCTGAAGAAATAAACATCCACTTGGGCCCCAGGGCCCCAAGAACAGAAGGCCACTCTTGCACCGTTTTCCAATGGCTGAATATTCTGAACAGAACTCAGCCTCGACTGCCTGCAGTTCTCCAATTTATGACATCTATTCAAGAGTGCGGGGGGGCGGGGGGGAATGCTTGTCCACGTGCAGAAATTTCTAAAAAAAAAAAAAAAAGCCACACTCTTAAAAACACCAAGAGTCTCTGCGGAGGGAAACAAAAATGTTCTTTTTTATTATTATTCAAGGGTAATTAACACATAGCATACTACTAGTTTCAGGGGCAGGGAAATGGAAAACTTTTCCTTGCATTCCTCTACATAATGTTCAAAATGCTTGCCACGTACACGTTATTTCTTCAAACGGTTTCTCCACATGACCCATGTGGGTTCATCTAGACCCCCACCACCCTGGATTATTACGAAGCAGACCCAAAACTTCCCTTCATTTCCTTCCATAAATACTTCAGGATGTAACTCTGTCAATAAAGTGCCTTTATGCCATCACAATGCTATCACCAGACCTCAAGAAAATGAACAAGAATCCCTCATTATCAGAGCCAGAGTCCCAAAGTCCAATTGCTGCAATTTTTTTAACACTTGGTTTGTTTGAATCTGAACTGACAAGGTTCTGACTGTGCATTTAGTTGATAAGTAGCTTCAATCTCTCCTCGCCCTCTTCTGTCTTCTTTCCCAATCCACTTTTTGCAGAAACCAGGTTGTCGGTCTTACAAAGCTGTCCAGATTGCAGCTCCAAAAGGGCCTCTGTCTCTACATTTCCTCTGAACTGTATGAAGAGTGAAGAGATTCAGATCTGGCTTTTGGCAAGAGTACCTCTTAGACAATATCATATACTTCCTATTTTATTGTATCAGAGATCTCTATTTTTGTCTAAAAAGTTTTTAAAAATATCTATGAAGATTTAGCCTTATTTATAATTTTCTGATTAAAATCAGAATATGTTCATATATTATGTGTAATTAAAAATTAATTTCCAATTAACTTTGAACAGATCCTCTGTTCATTAAAAGGACCATGGCTTCACCTCTCACAGGCTGAGTAATGCTCATGAGGCTACTATGCAATGCCAGTGGGACTGGCTGGAAGGACAGACGTCACCAAGACAGCTACAACATAACCCCATGGTGCAAGTCCTCCAGATGCCATACTGCCATCCCCTGAACCCTAGGCACCCAAGGGAAGGCGGAGGGCAGCATTCCCAGAAACATAACTAGAGATAGGTCTTCTCCCTCTTGCAGCATGGTGAAGGCCAGAAGGCAGTGTGCACAGGAAAGGAATTCAAAAAGATGTGACAAAGCAAAACTGTGTGGAAGGTTGGCAATAATAAACACAACCCCTGCCACCTCAACCCCAGACAGGTTCTACCTGTTTCCATCTGGCCCCAGTTCCAGGGTCTTACCAACCCTGCATGGAGAAGCTATGGGGCTCAGCAACAATCACCCTTTTGCTTGCCTGCTTGCTCCACAGGCCATACCTTTTGGGAGAAATGAAGGGAATGCAGAGAAGCAGCACAGCAAAGACCTCTGCATAGAGGAAGGTGGCGACTGCAGTCCACTGCAGACTCATCGTGTTGCTAGAAGGTTTCCAACAGTGAGATGTGCGCTTGTTTCCTGACAGGACACAAAAGGGACAGAAGCTGTTGTGAGAGCTGGGCAGCCACTCTTTACCCTCTACCGCAGCACTCTACTCCAGTCTTTTTAAGCCACTGGCTGAAACCGGGCTCAACTCGGCAGGGATACTTGGCCAACAGTGCTCAAAGGCCTGACAAACTCCCGCTTGCCAGGACGCAGTTACTTGCTGCCTTCCAGTACGTGCCTTAAGAGCCACCTTTCTGGCGAATTCCTTTCCCGACTGGGTTCAGCAAACTCCTTATGCCTGCTTAACTGGGAAAGTGTTAATAAAAGATTATATAGACGGGAGAAAATTCTCGACATCCATCAGGCTCACTCCCTTCCCAGTCAGCCCCTGGGCGGCAGTGTTTCAGTAACGCACTTTCTCCGAGAGCGGCGACGCCCCCACACCCCCCTTCCAAGGAAACCAGGAGGCCCTTCCCTCACGAGTCTTTCCAACCGAGCCGAGAGAAAACCTGCAGCCTCCCTCCGGGGCGAGAGCAGGGGCTAAAAAAAACCTTCCGACGCCGCCGCGTCTGCCTCGGATGCGGTGGGAGAACTCGGGAATACCTCCGAAAGCCCACAAGAGCGACTCCTTCCGGGCGGGAGTCGGGGCCAAGAGCAAATGCGGGTCTCGAGTAAGCACCTCATGGCCTCATCCAGAGAAAGTTCTAGAAAAAACGGTCTTTTCGGAAGCCGGAGGAGCCCCTCCCGACAGCCCTGGTCGCCCACAGCCGCCCACCCGGCTCGAGTCCCCCGCGCTCCACCCGCGCGGCCCCTCGACAAGGCCTTAGGCCGCCACGCCTTCCCCCAGCCCCACCCTGGCCGCCCCTCCCGAGGGGCTTCGCCACCGCCCCTCGCCCCCGCGGCCGGCCCTCACGCCCCCGGAGCCCAACTCCAGCCACCGCCCCGACTTCCCTCCGCCCAGCCCTACCCCCGTACTCCCGGCTCGGCCCTCGGCCCCGGGCCCTCCCCACACTAACCGCCGCTGCCCCCCGTCGAAGGCCCGGACGACCTGGGTGGCCCCAGAGCCCAGCTGGACGCGCAAGCACGCTCACCGAGCCTCCCACGGCCAACGCACACGCCCCGCTGCCACTGCCACCAAACGCTCCCACCGCAGCCCTGGCCCCGCCCCTTCCCCCCACGGCCGGAAACCGGAAGCACCCGCCACGCCACGCCCCCCCCGCTCCCAGCCGCACCCAGGCCCCGGCGACTCCGCCCACGGCCGTTTTTCGCCCCGCCCCCGAGCCGAGGCCCCAAAGCCCACGACTGGAGGAGAAGAGGCGCCTCGGGCGCGCCGATGTGAGAGGCGGGGCCTTGGCGGGAAAGCCAGGGCCCGCTTCTCTGGCCCGCGCGGTCCTCCCACGTCTCAGTGGTTCGGGGAAGGGGCGGGGCCCAGCCGTGGGGCGAGAACGGGGTGGGGCTCGCCGCGCCCGGGCTCCGCCTCCCGCCCCTCCTCCGCCTCCTCCCTTTCCCCCCCGGACTCGCCCCTGGGGAGGGGTGGGTGGTGGAGTCACTGTCGGCTTCAGCCAGGCTGCGGAGCGGACGGACGCGCCTGGTGCCCCGGGGAGGGGCGCCACCAGGAGAGGAGGAGGAGGAGGAGGAGGTGGAGAGGAAGAGACGCTCTCTCTGCTGACATCCCCCCTCCCCCCCCCCCGAGGCTCTGACCCCAGGGGCTAGGGGCCTGACAAGTTTCTCCACCTTGGCTGCCTGAAGAGGCCGCTACCCTGGAGGGCCCCGAGCCCACCGCACCAGGGGCCCCAGCACCGCCCCGGTGGCCTAACGCGACAGTCTCAGGGACCACTGCAAGGTTTCCAGTTGCCTAGACAAGGAGCCGGGGGTCAGAGCAACAACCCTTCCAGCCACCTGCCTCGACTTCTGCCTCAGGCACCAGTCCCAGCCCTGTGCATCCAACCCAGGTGACATGCCGGTACTCTCCACCCCTCGGTCCTCGCGGGTGACCACGCTGAAGCGCACAGCTCTGGTCCTGGCCCTCACGGCCTATGGAGCCCACAAAATCTACCCTTTGGTGCGGCAATACCTGGCTGCAACCAGGGGCCCTCAGGTACCAGCAGGGGAGTCCCCGCAGGAGGTCTCTGGGGCCACAGCGGCCAAGGCCGGCGTGAACCGGGTGTTCTTGCAGCGGCTCTTGGGGCTCCTGCGGCTGCTCTTCCCCAGGACTCTGTGCCGGGAAACGGGGCTGCTGGCACTGCACTCGGCATCCCTGGTGAGCCGGACTTTCCTGTCAGTGTATGTGGCCCGCCTGGACGGCCGGCTGGCCCGCTGCATCGTGCGCAAGGACCCACAGGCCTTCGGCTGGCAGCTCCTGCAGTGGCTCCTCATCGCTCTCCCTGCCACCTTCATCAACAGCGCCATCCGGTACCTAGAGGGCCAACTGGCCCTGTCTTTCCGCAGCCGTCTAGTGGCCCACGCCTACAGGCTTTACTTCTCCCAGCAGACCTACTACAGAGTCAGCAACATGGACGGGCGGCTTCGCAACCCTGACCAGTCCCTGACGGAGGACGTGGTGGCCTTTGCAGCCTCTGTGGCCCACCTCTACTCCAACCTCACCAAGCCGCTCCTGGATGTTGCTGTGACCGCCTACACCCTGCTCCGAGCAGCCCGTTCCCGGGGGGCCGGCACAGCCTGGCCCTCGGCCATTGCTGGTCTCGTTGTGTTCCTCACAGCCAACGTGCTGCGAGCCTTCTCACCCAAGTTTGGCGAGCTGGTGGCAGAGGAGGCACGGAGGAAGGGAGAGCTGCGCTACATGCACTCTCGAGTGGTGGCCAACTCAGAGGAGATCGCCTTCTATGGGGGCCACGAGGTGGGGCAGGGCGGGGTACTGGGCACAGAAGAAAGCTTGTGGCTGGGAGGCCAGGGGGCAGGGCAGCCATGGACAGCGTGGAAAGCCCAGGTCTGGCTGGGGCTAATGCCAGAGGTGTGGGGAGGTCACAGAAGACGAAGACTGGGGATGGCAGGGCCTGGGGCAGCCCAGACTTAGGCTCAGAAAGGGAGAAGCAGGAAGGCTGGGTGGGGACTGCCCTGGGCCAGCTGCCGGCTTGCTCCAGGCCACTTCTGCTTCCTCTCCTCCTCCATGTGGTTGGCCTGGCCCTGGAGTTGTGGATCCTAGCGGTTTCAGATGCTGGAGCTCCCTGCTTCCTCCACTCCTACAGCCAGCCAGGAGGAGGCTCCTGCCATCTGGGAGCAGGGGACAGTGGGACCTGCGGCCTCCTGCTGCCTGGCCCCTCGTGCCCCCCTTCCCCCTGCCCCGGGCCCTTTGAAGGCCAGCATCTGGCCAAGCTGGTGGGCCAGGCAGACTGGCATTATGGGCATGACTCAGCCCAAGCGGGGGTTAACGAGCAGCACCCAGCGCCGCGGCCGCAGCGGTGGCAGCTCTAGGTACTCGGGGTCAAAGCCTCCCCCACCTGAGCCCGCAGGCCGGCCCGGCTACCTGCTCGGCTGCCTCCCCAGGCCCCGGGCCAGGGCTGCCTGACCCAGGCCGCCACCGCGGCGGGACGCACTTCCTGCCCGCCCAGCAGCCACCCTGCCCCCCACCCCCCGCGTGGCCGCCCTTCCGCCTGGGTCGCAGGCGCGCAGCTCCCCAGCAGGCCAGGCCTGCCGGGAGCCTGGCGCTGGGAAAGGTTACTCCGGGCCACTGCTCCCTTTATCTCGCCTCAGCCCCTCCCCTTCCTTGTGCCTGGGGCTGCAGCTGCCTCGGGCCCTGCTCTCTGCTTTCCGAGGGCTTCTCAAGGGAGGGGCACGGTGGCGCCCGCCTCCTGAAGGCCTGTGTGTCCTGTCTCTGTCAGGTGGCCTCTTGTCCCCGGACCTTGCCTCATTGGCTGCACATTGGGCAGAGGCCGTGATGTTTTTACAAAAAGGCTTGTCCCTAAACTCGGCAGAGGGGGCATCCCGGGTGTAGGCCGGGCTCCGGATTAGGAGAAAATGCCTGGTCTGCAGCCACAACCCGTCTCCTCTCCCACATGCCGGACTGCAGGGCCTTGGCAGGCAGCCACCGCCTTGGGTGAGGCGCTTGGCACGTTACCCGCAGCTCCATTGTCAGCCCCGGCGGGCACTCCTGCCAGCTCCCAGCACGAGCCTGGATTGCCAGGGTGCTCAAAGGAGGCGTGCTCACTTCAGGAACCAGGATTGGACTCAATGCAAAGGCAGTCGATGTGCCAGACCAGGATGGTGGGGGCAGGAGGGCCCCGGTGTATGTCCACAGCCTGTCTCTTTTGACCTTGGCTAAAGGGCCGGAAAGTGGTGTGGGGTGATGGGTCCTCATGGGGGGGGGGGTTGATTGCCTTTACTGGGCAGGCGTGTGGCTCGCCCCAGTTCTGCCAGCTGATGTCCCTATGGACACTGACCCAGGTTCCATTCAACAGGTTAGGGCAGAGGTGACTGGCTGGCTGGAGGGCAGACATCACAGTGTTCTGTTCTCATTGAGATCTCACGGAGGAGGCTGATTTAGATTTCATTCGTGTGTGCGCATACATACAAACTCTTGCTGGCTTGAGAGCGAGGTAAACCTTTCTTAGTAGGTCAAAGCGTCATTTGTGAGAATCTGGTTCTCTCCTAATGGCTCTGCCAGGATGGTCCAAATGGCACACCTCTTGCTACCTCCAAGCGGTGTGAGCTTGGGCAGGTCCCTTTGCCTCTTGGGCTTTGGCGTCCCCAGTACAGTGGACATGAGAGTACACATACTGTTGCAGGGGATGAGAGTCAAGTGGAGAGTCAGGTGTGAAAGTACTCGGCAAAGGAGATGGTGCCAGGCTGGGCAGCTGTGCTCAGCTGGGGGTGGGAGGCAGGGCTGGGGCACACCCCCCTATAACGAGCCAAGAAACCCACAACCTAATGGCCATCCTGCCGTGACCCAGTTCCTGCCACCTCTGTGTCCGCAGCCTGAAGTTGCAGGTGGTGTGGCCAGTGCGGGCATGGGGAGGGAAGGGCAGGGCTGGCTTGGGAGCCTGCCCTCCAGGTTTCTGTGGGGGAATGCGGTGTAGGGTCCTCATCCAGGGGGACCCTGGGCAGGTTGAGGAGGCGGGGCCAAAGTAGAGACTCTGGAACCAAGTTCCTCAAAACCAAGTACTGCCTTTTGCTTTCCTGCGCTGCCCTTTGCTTAGTTCAGGCTAGCACCCCCCAGCAGTTGCCCAAAGATGTCCCGAAGCGGTGCAGGGCAAAGAGAGGGGCGTGGTAAGTGTCCCAACTAGAGAGGTAGTGGAAAGAAGGGATGGGAAGGGGCCTCGGGAGGTGGGGGTGACGAGGCCCTTCTTCGTCACGACTGTCCCCTGGTACTCTGACGTCAGGTGGTCCCAAAGCTTGAAAACTGGCCCCTGTAAATACGGCCTAGTCGTAATCCCCAGCCCTTGACCTCGTCCTGGCCATCAAATTTCACAGCATGTGTGAGTGGCGCTTGGAGACTCTTGTGGCCCCTGTGGTAGTTACCATGCGGCCTCTTGGTCTCTCTCTGTCACCCGCACCCCTGCAGGTGGAGTTAGCCCTGCTGCAGCACTCCTACCAGGACCTGGCTTCACAGATTAACCTTATCCTGCTGGAACGCCTGTGGTACATCATGCTGGAGCAGTTCCTCATGAAGTATGTGTGGAGTGCCTCGGGCCTGCTCATGGTGGCCGTGCCCATAATCACTGCCACCGGCTATTCGGAGTCAGGTGAGAGCCACGGCTGCCAAAGGGGCGGGGGCAGGGACCCCCTCCTGTCCTCCTGGATCACTAAGTGCTAGGCTTGGGAGGCCCCGGGGCTTGGCTGACCTACCTGCCCCTTCTGCTAGGGCCATGAGGCCCAGCCGGTATCCTGAGCTCAGCAAAAGTCACACTCTCCTGGAGCTCCTGGTTGCCCTCTGCTCGGCATGTGTCTTCCCTTGACAGCATTTCACACTCCTCGGTACCACTCAGCTGAGCCTGGGGACTGGGAATCAGGAAGCCCTTACGTCCCTTCCTCAGACGCACGCAGCCTCGCCCACCTGGTCCTGTCCTTGGCTCACTGCGACCCGGGAGTGGGAGGATAGGGAAGTAGCTTCAGCTCCTTCATCCCCTGGGCCTTGGCCTTCCTGTGCCTAAAACAACTCTAGTAGGTTGCAGCGGGTATAGACCTTGGCCCTAAGGCCTGGGGTGGGGGTGAAGGGAGACAAGAAAGCCTGCCTTGCTTGGCACTTGAGCTAGTGCGTCATCAGGATTCCCATTTTGTCCTTTAGAACATTCTAATTCAGGGCCCAGCCACGCTGATGTTTGATGGAGCTCAGTGTCAAGTTTGCTTTCCTGTTGTTTTGATGCCTGGCTATTGCTTTATTGGGTCAATGTGGGTTTAAATTCACCCCTCTGCGTTACTGATTTCTTTGCTCACTGGTCCTTTTCCACAGCCCAGTTACCTTCTTCCAGATAGATATCTTCTAGAAGCTCTTTCTGCAAGGCTTTCGTCATGGGAACTTTGAGATTATCTTGTTGTCTGAAACATCTTTATTTTACTCTTTTCCCAGACTAAAGTTTGGTTGGGTGTGGGAGTCGAGGTGGACCGTTACTTTCTCCCAGCCCCTTGACAGTATCTCATTGTCTCTGTCGGACAATCTGTTATCAGCTTCATGTGCCTCTGGCAGCCTGCATTGTCTCTCTGGTTACTTTTAGACTTTCTTCTCTGGCATCCTGCAGTTTCCCTATGAAGTGTTTACCTGAGGTGTCTGTTTGTCCTGCTTGAGATTTGTTGTATGGCCTTCGTATATTCAGATTTTTCCATCATTCCGGAAACATCTCAGCTATTATCTTTTCAAATATTGCCTTGGTCTTGTCCTTCTACTCTTCTCACTCTCTCCTTTGTGACTCTTCACCACTTGGCTGGCTCCCACCTAGCACCGTGCTGAATTAGGGGCACTCTCTGCAGATCTTTTATGCTCACTGGTCCATCCGTTTTCTCTTCAGCTGCACCTAATTTGAATTTTGTTTCTTTTTTTTTAAGATTGTATTTATTTATTTGACAGAGAGAGACACAGCAAGAGAGGGAACACGAGCAGGGGGAGTGGGAGAGGGAGGAGCGGGCTCCCCGCCGAGCAGGGAGCCCGACGCGGGGCTTGAGCCCAGGGCCCTTGGGATCATGACCTGAGCCGAAGGCAGACGCTTAACCGACTGAGCCACCCAGGCGCCCTTGAATTTTTTTTTCAATTTCAGTAACTATTTCTATAAGTTCTATTTGTTTCTCTTTCACACAAAAATGTGAAAACAGACATTTTTCTTTTCAAATAGGAATTTTAAACTGTTTTCGTAAGTGCCTGATTTTCTCATCTTTTGGACTGCTCCTTTTTATGCTCCATGGTCTCTCTCCAACTATTTGATTATCAGAATTCTTGGGGATCTAGGCCAGCTTTATCTTCCATCTGCTGCTCTTCACTCATGGTGGATTGTTTCCCTGTGGGTTTTGCAACCAGATTTCTGTGGGAACCCTGAGTGGCCTAACCCGAGGGGTCATTCCCCAGCACGGTGTGTATTTGCTTGTGCTTGGGCCACGCATGCCCGCCCAGGTAATTAACCACTTGGAGGCCCTTTTACCTTAGCTTCTCACCTTGGAGAAGAGGGGTTCCTGAACTTGGAGACAGTATTAATTTGAACTCCAGACACATAATTACAGATTCTTAGAGGAGACCTTTTGTTTAGTGCACCTAGAGCCCCAGCTGCACAAGAGAAACCTCTCTGTATTCTCCCATCTCTGGAGATTTCACGGGAGTACCTGGTTGCTGGCTTCTCTTTGTGTTCCTGGAAATTTCCCTTGCTTTCCTTGGAGCACAGCTCTGCTTGAAAAGGTGTTATACTTTGAAGCACCTGGCTGGCTCAGTTGGTGGAGCGTGCGACTCTTGATCTCCAGGTCGTGAGTTGGAGCCCCAGTGTTGGGTGTAAAGCTTACTTAAAAAAATAAAATATATTTTAAAAATTAAAAAAATTAAAGGTGTTATATTTTATGCAATTTGGTAGTAAGAGGGTTTTATTTTATTTTTCTTAAGATTTTATTTTTTTGAGAGAAAGAGAGAGAGCACGCACACACAAGCAGGGGGAGCAGCAGGTAGAGGGAGAAACAGGCTCCCCACTGAGCAAGGAGCCCGATGTGGGGCTCAGTCCCAGGACCCTGGGATCATGACCTGAGCCCAAGGCAGACGCTCAACTGACTGAGCCACCCAGGCGCCCAGTAAGAGGGTTTTGCAATTGCATGTAAAGAGAGAGAGCCGGACTCGTTTCAGAGCCGAAGCCTCTGATTCGCTCTCTATCTGTGTCTCTACCTGGGGGCTTCTGTACCTTCAACTGTCCTTCTCTGGGTAACCCCCAAGGGGAAGGATCTAATTGGAGGGGGATTATTACTTTCCACCGCAAAGGCCTTACGTAAAGGGTGGCCTTGATTTAGGCGCAGGTGCCAGACCCAGTCAGCACCCCTGGCCTAGAACATGGGAATCCATCCACCCACGAGGAAACCGACCTGTGGTTTCTGTGAGGAAGCGCCTGCAGCTACTTTCCTCTATAGCTGGCCTTGGGGCCCATCTAGTCCCCAAGGCCTCTCCCTCCCGTGAAAGCCTAGGACTTTCTGGAGCCTCTGCTACCCCAGACGCTGTGGGCAGTTCAAAGAAGCATGAGCTCTTGTCCCTGGCCTCCTGGCCCTTTATAGTTAGTTACCTGTGAAAATGTGCAACACTCACTCTTCTGCCTTGCTGGCCTCCTCGCTATTCCCCGGAAGCAGTGCTTCTGCCCCCGGGCCCTTGCAAGTGCCACTAGCTCTGCCGGGAACCCTCTCTCCTCTGCCGAGACCGCCGCCCCCACCATCCTCTTCTCCTTCCCCAGCGCGCTGCTCCCCCAACGCCGCACACACCCTGTCTACTCTACTTCTCTGTTTCGTTTACTGTCCTCTGCCACTTTAGGCTGTGTGTGCTCCATGGAGGCAGGGATTTTTGTCTGTTTTGTCCTTGCTGTGTCCCTAGTACCCGGGGGCTAGTGAGGGCTCTGGGTGCTTCGAGGAGGCTGAAAGCCCTGGGGACCTATAGGAAGAGGCAGACACTTATCAATGGGGGAAAATCTCCATACCTTTGCCTTTCTAGCCTGCTGGAGCTGCAAGGCTGCAGGGCCCAGAGGGAGAATGGCCTTGCCCTGAACAGCTGCCTGGCATCCTGCCCCTGGGCCCTGGTCTTAGCTGCCTTAGCCTCTGAGGGAACCTACAGAGAGGACAGTCAGTTCTGTCTCCAGGGAGGTGCCAGCTGTTGCCAGGATGCCCCCAGCCACTACAAACCCTTTCCCTTAGTGTGTAGTCCCTCTCCGGCTTTTAGGACATCTGGGGAGGACAGCTTATGTCCCCCCTGCCTGTTGGAGGCTATGTCAGTGGGGGCACAGTGGGAAGGCAGGCCCAGGACCATAAACTGTCAGGATTAACCCCCCCCCCACCCCGTCCTGTTCCCTGGATTCCTGGTTCAGGCCCAAGAAAGGGCAATGCAAGGCAGTCAGGCCATCCATCCCATGCCTTTTCCACCCGGTATTGCCCGGGAGGCCGTCTGCCCTGAGCTGCCTTCCTGCCCCTTGCCACCCCACCCCTGCCATCATGTCCCTGAGGCTTCCACCTTGAATTGACATATGCCCCTGGGTAGAGTCCTTGGGCCCTTTACAGGACTTCCCTTCCTACCACTTTGGCCCCAGGAGCCTCAGCTTCCCCTGGATACTCCAGTGGGCACTGCTCACTCTCCCACACCTCAGGGCCCTCATAGTCAGCTGCCCCCTTGCTCCCCATCACCATTTCCAGCGCATTCCTTGTGTGAAAGCCCTGCCTTCCTGGGAGCTCTAAGGGTCAAGGGAGTCAAAACCACTGACAAGATGATTGAAGTGAGCAGCCACAGGGTCTAGACTGAAACAGAAAAGCAAGGTGAGACAGAAACAGGTTCCCAGGGAGAAAGAGAGGCATCAAGGATGACCATTCTCAGAGAGGGCCCAGAATACAGTGTCGAGGGGTGAGCTGAGGGAGAAATGGGGGTAACAGTGGAGGTCCAAAAGGGACATTTATGTTGGAAAGACTCGAGGGTACAACAGCTCTGGGCGTTAGATGATGAGGTGCGGGTGCGCCCCGAGAGGGGCTGCCCTCATTAGTATAAGACAGAGCGAGGGCAGGTTAGGGGAAAGGAGCTGGTTCTGCCAAAAAAGAAAGCCAAATGCCTAATGGCTCATTTTCTTATCCAGATTATTGAGATGTAATTAACATACCATACAATTCAGCCTTTTAAAGTGTATAATTAAGTGGTTCTTTTTTTTTTAAAGATTTTATTTATTTATTTGGCAGAGAGAGACACAGCGACAGAGGGAACACAAGCAGGGGGAGTGGGAGAGGGAGAAGCAGGCTTCCTGCCGAGCAGGGAGCTCGATCCCAGGACCCTGGGACCATGATCCGAGCCGAAGGCAGACGCCTAACGACTGAGCCACCCAGGCGCCCCTAATTAAGTGGTTCTTAATATATTGATGAAATTGTGCAACCATCACCACTAAGTCCAAAACATCGGCATCACCCCAGAAAGAAACCCTAGACTCATTAGCAGTCACCCCCTCCCCAGCACTCCCCGGCCCCCGACACCCACCCATCTTTCTGTTGCTGTGGATTGTTGGCCTCTCGTGGACATTTCACATGAATGGAATCACACAATCTGTGGCCTTTGGTGTCGGCCTCCTCTCACTCAGCATCACGTTTTCAAGGTTCATCCACGTTGCAGGGTGAATCGGCACTTCACTGCCTTTTACGGCCAAATAATATTGCATCACATACATGTACCACAGTTTCTTTATCCATCTGTCCACTGATGGGCATTTGGGTCGTTTGTACCTTTTGATGATTATGAATGGTGCTGCCATGACCACCTGTGTACAAGTTTTCATGTGAACGTGTATTTTTTGTTTCTCGTGGATGCATATCCAGGAGTGGAATTGCTGGGGCCCGTGGTAACTCTTTGTTGAACTTTTTGAGGAACTGGCCGACCAGTTTCCACATGGGCTGCGCCATTTTACAGCCCCACCAGCCATCCTAGTGGGTGTGAAGTAGTATCTCATTGTGGTTTTGATTTATGTTTCTTTGATGACTAATAATGTTGAGCGTCTTTTCATGTGCTTATTGGCCATTTGGAGACCTAGGAAATACAGTACAATTGTCTATTCAGATCCTTTGCCCATGGTTTCATTGGGTTTTCTTTGTTGTTGAATGGGAAAAGTTTTTTTACATATTCTGGATACAAGACCCTTATCGGATATGTGATTTGCAGATGTTTTCTCCCAGTCTGTAGGTTGTCTTTTCGCTTTTTGGATGGTTCCTTTGGATGCCCGAAAAGCTTTCATTTTGTTGAAGCTCATTTATCTGTCTTTCTTTTGTTGCCTGTGCCTTTGGCGTCATATTTAAGGAGCCATGCGTAATCCGAGCTCACAAAGACTTACAGCTGCTTTCTTCCAAGAGTTTTACAGTCTTAGCTCTTACATGAGTTAGTTTTTGCAGGTGGTGTGAGGTAGGGGTCATTCTTTTGCAAGTGGACACCCAGTAGTCCCAGCACCATCTGCCAGAGAGATTCGTCTTTCCCCTAGTGAGTCCATTTTGATTTTCCCCGGTCCCCTCCTTTCCACTGTGTTCCATAGACTCAGAGGCAGTGAAGAAGGCAGCTTTGGAGATGAAGGAGGAGGAGCTCGTGAGCGAGCGCACAGAGGCCTTCACCATTGCCCGCAACCTCCTCACAGCTGCTGCAGATGCCATCGAGCGGATCATGTCATCCTACAAGGAGGTACCCCCCAGCCCAGCACCACCCCTCCACCCCGCCATGCCTCCCCACCTCCCCCAGCTGGTAGCGTCTGAGCCAGGGTCACCCTCCCCGCAGGTGACAGAGCTGGCTGGCTACACAGCCCGAGTACACGAGATGTTCCAGGTATTTGAAGATGTCCAACACTGCCATTTCAAGAGGCCCGGGGAGCCGGAGGACCCTCAGGCAGGGCCCGGGGCTGTGGCCAGGTCTGGTGTCCGTGTAGAGGGGCCCCTGCAGATCCGAGGTAAGGGCATCCTCCCCCCAGATACCCCCACCCAGAGGGCAGGGTCTTTGAGCTGTGCCCCTGCGACCTTCTTGCCCAGAGCAGTAGCTGCTAGCCAAGCCCCTCACTTGCCGGTGCCTTCCCAGGGCTCTGGCCGAGATTTCTCTTATTTCTCTTTGCAAAAGAAGGAGATGCAGTCCCTGAGTAGAAGGGATCACTCTCCCATGTGAGCAGCAAGAGAAAGTTCAAGACCACAGCAGGGGCCAGTGTCAGAGGGTTTTACAGCGTAAGGGTGGACTCCATGCCTCGGGTTCCAGAAGCCAGAGAATTGATATTGCCCCTCCCCTGCCCAGAGCACAGCACCAGACACTGTTTGGGGATGGGCTCACGGAAGACCCACCATATTCCCAAGGGGCCCCAGACCACACACTGGCGTGCTGTTGCAGGGGGGCGGGGGGTGGGCACGTGGAATCCAACAGAAGGTGGAGGGGGTATTGCTGCTCCCTGTATTCCCTCATTGCATTCTCTCTCCAGGCCAAGTGGTAGATGTGGAACAGGGAATTATTTGTGAGAACATCCCCATCATCACACCCACGGGAGAGGTGGTGGTGGCCAGCCTCAATATCAGGGTAGGTCAAGTGTGGGACCAGGGAGGGTGGGTTGCCTGACCCAGGAGTGTTGGCTGAGCTGGGCTGAGCTATAGGACCCTGGGCTTGGCCTTCTGCATCTGCAAGCCCCAACGTTTGGTGTCTGGCCTGCTGGGCCTGCATACGTTGTCATTCCCCAGATCCACTTGGCAGGTGGGCTAAGGTCCAGGTGAAACACCAACATGTCTCTGATTGTTGGTTCTGTCACAGTGCAGTCATAAAAATAACTAGCGATTACCAAGAGTAGCCAAGGGTCACCCAAGGGCTCCTGGCCCTGGCCTCATCATTGCCACCTCCCACCCCCATCCCTGAGAAGCCCAGGACTTGGGGACTCAGGTTCAACTCCAACTATGGTGAAATAGATTCCTCCAGTGACCTGGGCTTAGGGTCCCACCATCTGCTTCAAGAAGCCCCCAGTGTAGGTACAGCCTGGCCCACTGGGAGGACTCTCAGCCACTACAGAGGCTGTCTGTGGGAAGGAAGCCCTGGTAGCCAACCCCCACCACTCACCTGTGTCCCTAGCCAGAGCTTTGGGCAGGGTCAGGGAATGATGGAATGAAGGAGAGACCTGTGGAGGCAGGGTCAGTGTAAGAAGCGAGAGGGAGTCATTTATTCATCCCTGGGCTGGGCACTGGGAACCAGAGGTAAGCTGAAGGGGCACTGCCCTCAGGGAGGCCCCATGCTGGGTCCCCTAAACATTGCAAAGGTCCCCAGTTAGCTGCCCAGGATCCTATGGGGGCTACAGGAAGGGTGGTCCCATCCCTGAGGTGAGTAAAGGTCACCGGAAGCTTCACCCAGGAGCCTCAGGGTGGATGGGCAGCATGAGGAAGAAGGTGTCCCCCAGCAGGCAGGCAGGGGAAAGGTAGTGAAGTGGCGGGGAGCATGGAGCTGGGGGGCCTTGGGGCCTCGTGTGCCTGGCTGCAGAGCAGGGTCCCTTGGAGCCATGGCTGGGCAGGGAGTTACTGGGAAGAGGCAAGTGGAGGGTCAGTGCCTGGTGGTGCCAGTGGAGGCTCCTTTCCTCGATCCGCTGAGAGGGGTCCTGAGAGCCGGTTGGAGGCTGGGCACATTTCGTTACCCAGGCAGCGTGGGACAGTGCTGTGATCCCCGTCGCCCCCGGCCGTGGCCACTCTTGGGGTGTGGCAGGGAGCCACCAATGGCTGGTTTATCCAAGGCGAACGATTTCCCTGCAGGCCCAGTGGCAGCCAAGTAGGCAAAGACCAGGGGCCCTGCCTCGCCAGGGCGCAGCTGGTGAGGGAGCAAGGCCGGGTGAGGAGGGGTGACTGGGACAGAAGAGCTGGGGTGGGAGGCGAGGTGGAGGCCAGGCTCTGGGGCTGGGAGATGTGGGGGAAGGCAGGCGAGCAGTTCCCAGTCGTGATCGGCCAGGCGCTGGGGCAAGAAGGTTGGCGGAAGAGGGAGAGGCGCAGGGAAGGGGACCGGGGAGGCTGCCAGGGTGCTGACTGGGGGAGAGCCAGGCCTGACACACTGGCCCCTGTACATCGATCATGGAAGAGGGAGGCCCATCCCCCCCACCCCCCCACGAGGGCGTTTACAGTGTAACAGGAACACACAGTGAGGGGCTCAAACAGCAGGAGTGGCTTCTCTCCCCGTTTTGGAAGCCAGAAGGCCAGATTGGGGCGCTGCGGGAGAGTCTGCTCCAGGCCCCCTCCGAGTTTGGGTGCTTTACTGGCCATCAGTGGTGTTCCTGGGCTTGCGGAGCCTCACGTCAATCTGTGCCCTCCTCACATGGCCTTCTCCCTGTGTGCATGTCTCTGTGTCCAAATGAGTCCTTTTAATAAGGACACCAGTCACATTGGATTAGGGGCCCACCCACTCCAGGAGGACCTCATCGAAAAAAGTGTTTTTTAATAGAATCTTTTTTTTTTAAGATTTTGATTTGTTTATTTGAGAGAGAGAGAGAGAGCACAAGCAGGGGGAGGGACAGGCAGAGGGAGAAGCAGGCCTTCCGCTGAGCAGGGAGCCCAACGCGGGGCTCGATCCCGGGACCCTGGGATCATGACCCGAGCCGAAGGCAGACGCCCAACGACTGAGCCACCCAGGCGCCCCGGACCTCATCTAAATTTAATTACATTTGCAAAGTCTCTTTTTCCAAATAAGATCACATTCTGAGGTCTTGGGGGTTAAGACTCCACCATGCGTCTTGGAGGGCACCGCTCAATCCATAACACTGCCTCACTCAGGCCTCGTGGGGACGGCACAGTATTGGCGCTGTTGTCACACCCTGAGAGAGCGGAACTCAACATGGCGATGGGGGGAGGGGGGCTGTGCCCCAGGTGCCCTGCCATCTGACCCCTGCCTTCTTGCACACTCCCCCCCCCAAGCTCAGCTGGCCCTTTTCTTACAGCAGGCATTTCCATAAGACCAGCGGGCACCATGTAATCGGCTACTTGGGGAGCCTGAGGCCCTTGACGCTGAGCGCAGGGGTCACAGAGGCATCTGCCCAGTACCCTAGTACCTGTGCGGTCAGAGAGAGGCCCACGAGGGCAGGAGGATTGGCCAGGCATTAGGAACAGACAGAGTTGGGGGCTTGTATTGTCCACCTAGAACTCGACAGAAAGCACCTTTCCCGGGACCGTTCCTCAAGGGACAGCAACTCTGCTGAGGAAGCGAAGACACTGGGAGTCCTAGTGACGTGGGACGGCAGGGGAGAAAGGGCGACATGGGCCTTCTGGGGCCTTCCTCATGCTGGCCCCATGCTCTCCGGTGCATGTCAGGGGCTTAAGGGCCAGGCCAGGACCCAAAACAGGTGTTTGGCTGCGGCTCTGGATGCCAGACCTCATCCTTCAGGCCCTGCTGCCCCTTACCGAGAGACTGAGGGGGGCCCACCAACCGGCCTGGGTGTGGCCCCGAGTGTGGGCCACAGTTGGGAGGAGGGAGGTCCATGCAGGCCCCCCCCCCCCCGCCGGGTACCACCACTGCCTCCACAGGTGGAAGAGGGCATGCACCTGCTCATCACCGGCCCCAACGGTTGCGGCAAGAGTTCTCTCTTCCGGATCCTTGGCGGTCTCTGGCCCACGTATGGTGGCGTGCTCTACAAGCCCCCGCCGCAGCGCATGTTCTACATCCCTCAGAGGTGAGGGGACGGGGAGGGAGCCCGGCCCCTACCCCTTCCCACCCTGGAGATGGCAGGGCTTGGGGCATCAGGAGAGGACAGCGAGATTCTGTGCCCCGGAGTCCGAGGGGCGACGGGGCCTCCACCTGCCATCCGGCCGTGGCCGCGGCCGTGTGATGGCGTGTGCGCACATGTGGTATATGGTGTGGGGGTGTTGGTGCACGTGTGTGGGTGTGCCTGATGTGTGCGTGTGCACCTGTGCACGCGGGGCGGGAGTGGGGTGTGTGCGCAGTGTGTGGTGTGCATGCAGGGGGGCTGGTGGTGGGGTCTGCGGGCTTCGAGTCGGCCCTGCCCCCCGGCAGCCAGGGCCCATGACAGAGCCTGCTCAGGCACAGGGCTTCAGCAGGGAGGTAGGGCCAGGCCTGCCCTTGCTGACATGTGGCATTCCGGCAGGCCCTACATGTCCGTGGGCTCCTTGCGGGACCAGGTGATCTACCCAGACTCTGTGGAGGACATGCGAAGAAAAGGCTATTCGGAGCAGCACCTGGAAGCCATTCTGGACATCGTGCACCTGAACCACATCCTGCAGCGGGAAGGAGGTAGGGGAGGACGTGGCCAGGGAGGGAGCCCTAGATTGGTTGCCCTTGTCCCAAGACTCAGCAGGGGAATCTGCTGTCACCCTCGCCCCTGCCTCCCTCTTGGCCCCCGAGGGGTGAAGATGACCCCAACATCCAGGAGTCCAAAGTGCTAGGTGCCCAGGAAAGCCCCACCCATCAGGGCAGCCCTGAGCTCCCTAGGCCAGGGAGGCGAGGCACAGCAGGAGGTGTCCAGCAGGGGGCACTCATTTTGGTCCTGGACACCCTCTCCAGGCTCTGGGGCTCAGTGGCAGGGAGGGTCCTGTGGGCCAGGCAGGGAGAGCCTAGGCTTTCCCTGACAGTGAAGGAAGCCTTCGGAAGGCCTTAGGCAGGGAAGTGACGGGTCGGTGTCACATTTTAGCAAGAGGACAGACCCTGGGCATGAGCAGGGCAGCTGGGGAGAAGGTGAGCCCAGGGTGTGTGTGCAGAGAGCCTCTAGCATGGGAGGCAGGACAGAGCCAGAGGGGACGCTTGGGTTTCTGGCTCGAGCCTGGGAGGTGCCATCCCCTGGAAAGGAGACTGCAGGACTGGAGGGACAGGCTGGTAGCAAGAGAAGGCATTGGTCAGGGGCTTATCAGCTTTGTCTGCAAATGCCTGCTGTGCCCAGAGAGGGGGAGGAGGGGAGGGCAGCCCAGCTGCAGGGTGGGGGGAAACCAAGGTGGGGCTGGACTCAATTTTCTTTTCTTTTTTTTTTTTTAAAGATTTTATTTATTTATTTGACAGAGAGAGACACAGCAAGAGAGGGAACACAAGCAGGGGGAGTGGGAGAGGGAGAAGCAGGCTTCCCGCTGAGCAGGGAGCCCGATGCGGGGCTCGATCCCAGGACCCTGGGATCATGACCTGAGCCGAAGGCAGACGCTTAATGACTGAGCCACCCAGGCGCCCCTGGACTCAATTTTCTTAGTGAAATCTGAAAAGCAGGTTTAACTTCCTGCCTCCCTCACTTGGGGGGAGCTTGACCAGCTACTCTGTGCCCGGGAATGCACCCCTCCTCCTGTCTTCCAGGAGTGCCCTGGGCCTCTGGGGCCTACCATCACAACCTATTAGCATTGAGTTCAGCTGGGAGTAACAGAACCCCCTCCCCACAACAGTGGCTCACATCATTCACAAGTTTATCTTACTGAGACATAAAAGTCCTGAGGAAAGCAGGCCACAGTTGACGGAGGCAGCCCAGCTCTGTGAAGGCCCCTCAGGTCACTCAGCTATATGGGCCCTCCATTCCCAAAGTCACCTCATGATCCAAGATGGCTGCTCCGGCTATCACATCACATCACATCCCAGGCCATGGGCTAGAGAAAGGGGGAAGGGGGGGAAGAGCCAAGGGTACCTGCCATCTGTCTTTTTTTTTTTTTTTAATATTTTATTTATTTATTTGAGAGAGAGAGAATGAGAGATAGAAAGCACGAGAGGGAAGAGGGTCAGAGGGAGAAGCAGACTCCCCGCTGAGCAGGGAGCCCGATGTGGGACTCGATCCCAGGACTCCAGGATCATGACCTGAGCCAAAGGCAGTCGCTCAACCAACTGAGCCACCCAGGCGCCCCTGCCATCTGTCTTTTAAAGAAAGTTCCAAAACCTGACACATGTGTAACACACTTTTACCCCATTGGCCAGAATTCAGTTCCATGGTCACACCTCAAGGCAAGCTCAAGGCAAGCTACGGAGTAGAGTCTTTTTTGTGGGTGGCCCTGTGCCTTGACAAAACTTCTAGTCCCATGGGAAGATGGAGCAGAGGTAGGACGTAAGGATTCGTTTCTGCTCAGACTTGCTGAGGCAGTGGCACCAGGCAGTGACACAAACACCTGGTCCCTGCGGGTGAGAAGCCTTCTGGAGAGACCCCACCAGCCATCCCTGGGGCTCTGCCATGACTGTCTGCTGCCTGGGGATGGAAGCATTGGCTGGCTGTTCGTTAGCATTCTCTTAGGTCCTGCGGGCATCTGCTGGGGCTGCTATGACACGGTACCACAGGCCGGGCGGCTCAACCAACCGAAACGTCTCGTGTCCCCGTTCTGGAGGCCGGAAGGGCAAGAGCCGGGAGTGGGCAGGGCCGGTCCCTTCCGGGAGGGAAGGAGCCGTTCCAGGCCCGTGTCCTCGGCATGTGGACGGCAGTCATCTCTCTGTGTCTGCCCGAGGCCTTCCCTCTGTGCGTGTCTGTTCCCAGTTCTCCCCTTTCCATAAGGACGCAGTCCTGCTGGATTCCAGGGGCCCACCCTCGTGACCTCGTGATAACTGTCCCCTCTGTAAAGCCCATGCCTCCAAATAAGGTCACGTTCTGAGGTCCTAGGGCTCGGGATGCCCACATACCGTTTTTTTGGAGGGGACACAATTCTGCTTGCCAGTCTTTTTTAACTATTAAAGTATCACCTCCAGATAGATAAGCATCCAGGGCACGTGGACCCAGGGGCCAGCCTTCTCCAAAGTCACATATGCCCCCGTATCCCACCCCCACCAGTCTCTTCGGCCCCTCCCACTGCCCTTGGATCTGGGCCCTGCACAGGTGCAGCCCAGCCCTTAGTGAAGTGAACAGAAGCCCCTTGTCCCTTGCCTAGGTTGGGAGGCCGTGTGTGACTGGAAGGATGTGCTGTCAGGGGGTGAGAAGCAGAGAATTGGCATGGCCCGAATGTTCTACCACAGGTGAGCTGGGTGTTCCCCAGGGGGCTGAGTGGGACAGCCAGGGGCCCTGTGGCCATTAGGAGGCCTCACCCCGGCCTGGGCCCAGCCAGCACTGGCCACAAGAAGCAGAATCAGTACACAGGTCAGGGTTCCCACGGGGCGGGGGGGGGGGGGGACAGGCCAAGGCTTTTGTGAAGGAGGGTCCACAGCCTAGTGCATTTGCCCCTCCCCCCCCCCGCCCCAGGCCCAAGTACGCCCTCCTGGATGAGTGCACCAGCGCCGTGAGCATCGATGTGGAAGGCAAGATCTTCCAGGCGGCCAAGGATGCTGGCATTGCCCTGCTTTCCATCACCCACCGGCCCTCCCTGTGGTAGGTGCCCCCCTTCCCCGCCCGGAGCACCCCGCCTGCTTGGCGGCTGCAGAGGGGGAGGCCAGGCAAGTGTCTCCTGCTGAATGGCCTCCGCTCCTCTCCCGGCCTAGGAAGTACCACACGCACTTGCTGCAGTTTGATGGGGAGGGTGGCTGGAAGTTCGAGAAGCTAGACCCTGCTGCTCGCCTGAGCCTGACCGAGGAGAAGCAGCGGCTTGAGCAGCAGCTAGCGGGCATCCCCAAGATGCAGCGGCGCCTCCAGGAGCTCTGCCACATCCTGGGCCAAGGCTCTGGGGTCCTCCAGGGTGCTGCTCCCCCCTGAGCCCTGGGACCACATGAAGGAAACCACAGCACTTGCCCACCCACCCCTGCACCTGGCCCTGCCGCAGGCCTGTCCTGCATGCCTTTCCCTCCCAGGCGTCCTGGCCGCAGGCCTGCTCTGCCTAGAGGACTGCCAGCAAAACCACGTGCCTGTCCCTGGGCCCCCTTCCCTGGGCGGGGCGGATGGGCCTTTCTTCTCTTCCAGGAGGGGGGAAGGGTGGAGGGGAGCCCCCAGCTCGCGCCACCAGCCAGTCTGTGTGGAGCCTTGCTTGGGGGGGGCTGCTCTCCTGGCACTGCAGTCCCCCCTTATTCCCTCCTCTTCAGTCCCTTGGAGACCTCACGGGCCATCCGTGGCTACTGCCCAAATGGCCCACCGAGGCTTCCACCCCACAGGACACCCTTCCTGCCATAGAGACAGCCAGACAGAACCCACAGCCAGACAGGGCCCCTCGCGTGCACCCCTTCTCCCTGCCACGTGTCTCCAAGAGCCTGCGGGAGGAAGGATAGCACAGCACTAGCGAGCGATGGTAAGAATGTAGCCCTTGCCCCTGGCCTCCTTTCCTTCTACAAGCTAATTTACTGGATTCCTGTTTGGAGCCATCTCGATTGCCAACACGAGCACCCAGCCAGCAGCGGAGGTGGCCTGGGCCGCGGTCCTCCCACAGGTGGCCTGGCCCTTGAGCCAGCCCCCGGCAGCCTGTCGCCCCACCAGCCTACACTGCCAGCCACCTCCGGGGGCGGGTACAGGCCACTGAAGGGGGAACCGGGGGCTGGGGCTGCCGGGCATGAGGGCACCTGTGTGCCCAGCTCAGTGCCAAAGAGGGGTCAGCCAGGGGAGCTGTATCTGCAAAGCCAGCCCCCACCCAAGAGGGAGACCCCACCACAGCCACCGCATGTGCCTTTCCAGGTCCTCAGCCGCCTGGCCGGGGAGCATCCCTCAATCCCTCAGTAAAAGCCTCCCGCAGAAAGCGCCATCCTGCCTCCTGGCCTCTTTGTCTGGCAGGGCTGGGGGGGGGGGTTGGGGAGGGGCATCAGGTCGCCTGGGGTGCAAGGAGTAACCTCAATCCCCGCCCCCACCCAAAGACAGCTCAGCATAGTCTCCTGTGGGGAGGTAGATTTAGCAACGTCTCACAAAAATATTGGCTGAGCGCAGCTAGGACTCTGGGCCAATCCTGGGCCCAGTGCGGGGGTGGAGAGGAGGGGCTGCTGCCCAGGCCCCGCATGAGAAGCGTCTGGAGGGACACTGGGGGAAAGGCAGCGAGCTGCAAAGTGGGCTGGGTGGCGGGCACAGAGGAGGAGGAGTCCCGACCCTGTGGGGCAGAGGGGAGCAGGGAAGACGTAGTTCTGGACCTTCTAGGGAGAGGGAATGCTGGAAGGGAATTCCCTTCTAGGAAGAGGGAAAGCCCAGAGGTGAATCAAGAGCAAAGATGCGGGACATCAGTGTGGTGCGGAAGGCAGAGGAAGGGAGGTGCTGGGGCCATGCCATGGAGCCTGGACTGACTTTGGAGGCAACAAAAAGCCACCAAAGGGTGTTTGGCAGGATGGAGACAAAATGCAATTTATGTCCACGGCAGGCGGTGTGGAGGCTTGCTTGGAAGGAGGCAAGAGCGCACAGCTCGGTCCTCATCCGCTGCTGGTGGGAAGGGGAATGGAGCAGCCATTGTGGAAAGCTAAGCATGGACCCAGCACTTCACTCCTAGGCTTAAACCCAAGAGAACTGAAAATAGGTGTTCGCTCAGAAACTTAGATGTGAATGTTCGTAGCAGGGCTGTTGGTGATAATCAAAAAGTGAAAACAACCCAGAAGTCCATCAACATGAATGAATAAACCAAATGTGGTCTCTCTATGCAATGGAATGCTATTCGGCTAAAAAAAGGAGTGTGGTTCTGACCCCTGCTACAATGTGGATGAACTGTAAGAACGTGACACTGAGTGAAAGAAGCCAGACATGGAAGACCACATACCGTGTGATTTCATTGGTAGGAAACATCCAGAATAGACAAATCTATAGAGACACAAAGCAGATGAGTTGTTGCCAGGGGCTGGGTTTCCTTTTGGGGCAATGTTCTGGAACTGTAGAGGTGAGGGTTACACACCATTGTGGCTGTAATAAATGTCACCGAATTGTGCCCTTTAAAAGGGTTAATTTTATGTTATGTGAATTTCACCTCAAAAAATAGATCTATAGGTAATAGATGACAGGTACAGTGAGTGACTGATTGATGATCGCTAGATGCTACATGATTGGTAGATAATAGAGAGCTGATACGGGCGCCTGGGTGGCTCAGTCGGTTAAGCGACTGCCTTCGGCTCAGGTCATGATCCTGGAGTCCCAGGATCGAGTCCTGCATCGGGCTCCCTGCTGAGCGGGGAGTCTGCTTCTCCCTCTGACCCTCCCCACTCTCATGTGCTCTCTATCTCATTCTCTCTCTCTCAATAAATAAATAAAAATCTTTAAAAAAAAATAGAAAGATGATACATAGAGAGTTGATGGGTGACCGAGGCGTAGATGAGTGAGTAACCATTTAAAGCAGCCCAGGCAAGATGTGCTGAGGCTTGAAATCCCGAGCGTATTAGAGAGAGACTAGAAGAAAGTCGGGGGGGGGGGGTCAGACTCTGGGGGTAGTGGAGAGGCATAGTCAAGGTGACCCTTGGGCTCTGGCTTAGGTGGCCAGCTGGGCAATGGCACCCTTAGCTGGAGGAGGGACAGGTTGTGCTTGAAGATACAAGGAGACAACCTGGAGAGGAGGTGCCTGGCATTTCATCTGGGGGATGGGAAATAGCCTACATTTTACTTGAATTTGGGGGTTAGGATTTATTCTTGATCCCAGAAGAGGTGGTGAATTCAGAGGGCTAGGAGCTTTCCTCCTTTTCTTCCCAAGATTGTTGAAGTTGTCACTACCTGATAATAAATCCTTTTTTTTTTTAACTTACATACTTAGAACGTTTCTGTGGTCTGCCACCAAACCATAATTGATACAGATGGAAAGACCTAGCCAGCAAATACTGTCCACGAGGAAGTTAGTGGAGAGAAATTAACATCGGACAAAGTAGACCTCAGGGCACAAATCATTATTAGGAATAAAAGAGGTCACTGCATAATGATTAAAGAAATAATTCATTTGAAAGCATTAACCATTAACGTGTGCACCTGCCTAATGGTAGAAACTCAAATGTATATCAAACAAAAAAGTAGCCGTAAAAAGAAAAATTAATTAGTACACTTGCCACAATAAATTACACTGCGTCTCACTGCACATGGTAGCTCAAGAAGACAAAGCTTGTCAGACTATAGGAAAAATTGAACAAGCTTGATTAATGGACATCCCCAAACTAGAGACTACACATTCTTTACAAGTTCACCTTGATCATTTAATAAAACTCACCATGTCCTAGGCCACAAAACAAATCTCAACAATACTAAAAGAATTGGTATTGTACAAATCACGTCCTCAAACTGTGATAGAATAAAATCCTAAGTCAATGATAAAACTAAGGGCGCCTGGGTGGCTCAGTCGGTTGAGCATCTGCCTTCGGCTCAGGTTGTGATCCTGGGGTCCTGGGATGGAGCCCCGCGTTGGACTCCCTGCTCAGCGAGGAGCCTGCTTCTCCCTCTGCCTGCCGCTCGCCTGCTTGTGTGCGCTCTCTCTCTCTCTGTCAAATAAATAAATAATCTAAAAAAAAAAAAGAAAAAGAAAATTATTCTCCTTGACTCTTGTCCAAGGAAAAAGATAATCATATTTTTTAAAAAATGATAAAACTGGGGCGCCTGGGTGGCTCAGATGGTTGGGCGTCTGCTCTCGGCTCAGGTCATGATCCTGGGGTCCTGGGATCGAGCCCCGCGTCGGGCTCCCTGCTCCGTGGGAGCCTGCTTCTTTCTCTGCCTCTGCCTCTCTGTCTCTCTCCCTGTCTCTCATGAATAAATAAAATCTTTTAAAAAATGATAAAACTAAAATTAAGTCCTCTCATATGTTTGGAAATTTTAATGTACAAATGTAAATTTTAAAATACACTTTCAAATAACTGACCGATGCAAGAAGAATTATAATGAAAATCTAACAACAGAACTGAACAACAAAGAAAACACTACACATAAAAATGAATAGGGGCGCCTGGGTGGCTCAGTCGGTGAAGCGTCTGCCTTCGGCTCAGGTCATGATCCCAGGGTCCGGGGATCGAGCCCCGCATCTGGCTCCCTGCTCAGCGGGGAGTCTGCTTCTCCCTCTCCCTCTGCCCCTCCCCCCCACTCTTCTCTCTCTGTCTCGAATAAATAAAATCTTAAAAAAAAAAACCATATAGGATGTTGCTCAAGCAGTGCTTAGGAGAAAATGTATAGCCTTAAAAAGAATAAGAGGAGCACCAACTCAGGAAGCTAGAAAAGCCACAGCAGAATAAACCCAGAAAAAGTAGAAAAAAGGAAATCACAAAGACAGCAGAAATTAATGAAATGGAAAAAAGAAAGATCAATAAAGCCAAAAGTTTGTTCTCTGAAATTTGCAAAATAAACCAGTCTCTGGTGAGAATGAAAGGAGAGAATGTATAACCAGACGATCCTAGGAAGGAAAAGAGGGATAAAGCGACAGATAACAACAGCTGTGTCAAGCACAATGGGAGAGTCTGTGTAAAGCAGGGGAGCTTGGACACCTGTGTAGTACTTGCTTCTAAAAACACCATGAAAATGACAGTAAGGGGATGACAAGTGAAGAAAGGAATAAGTTCACCACAGAAAAGAAGAGGAGTGAATGCCTACCGAGAATGTTTTAGAAGCTGGAAAACTGGTGGAAGAGGCAGCCAGGGGCAAGGGCTGGCTTGCGAAGGAGCTGGAAGCACCAGATACCACAGAAGAAAATATGTATGTGTGGTGTGGGGGGGGGGGGCAGACAGGAGGATTGATTGAAAATCTATATAAGAAGCTGCTAGATCATACACACACACACACACACACAAAGAAGCTTCTAAATGTTCACATCTTTGCCCCACCTCTTGCAGAAGACCAGACTTTACTCTCCATCAAATTAGAACAGAAGGCCTGTGGAAATGCAGGGGCGCCCAAGTGGCACAGTCGGTTAAGCGTCTGACTCTTGGTTCCAGCTCAGGTTGTGATCTCAAGGTCATGGGATGGAGCCCCCTGTCAGGCTCCACGCTCAGTGCAGAGTCTGCTTAAGC